CACCAAAATACCTAATGACGGTTTAAAAAAAAAAAAACCTGGTCAAGGATTTTGAAGCAACCACATTATCTCTTTATCTGCGTTGAAATTATGGCAGTATACAGTAAAGGTAATACCATGCCTGTGAACTGTGGAATAAGCCTCATGCTAAATAAATCTCTTTGATATGTTTTTATATGAAATATGTTTGCTTATCATTAAATTATTTTCACTAGTCATCTTGCTGTGTGAAAAACAAATAACAAAGCTGTCTTACCACATAATTTGTGGGACTTTAGGACATGTAATGTCCAAATAAGTAACAACTGCATATTTTCGTGAGCTTATGCTAGTTTTTGGCATAGGACATCTTCTACAGCAGTGGTAACCCTCCATATTTCAGCTGACAGCTCTGTGCAAGCTGTGGTCATCTTAATGCTGAGAGATTCCCCTCTGCCCACATAAAAACCAGTCAGAGATGAGCTGTTTTGAATCAAGTCTTCTGCTCTTGTAGACTTTTAATTCTACCTTGGAATCTACAAGCAGACCACTGTATTTAATCCAAGATTGAGGCAAATTTTCTCTCTGCCTAGGTTTATCCTGTCTGTCTGTGAACAAAAGAGAGGATAGCAAGGTACCTTGTTTGGATTTGTCTATAAATGTGTCCTTCCTAAACTGGTCAACAGGGCTCTCTTGCTGACCTGCAGATGAATCGCCAATGTCTACATTGGAGATGTGGTAACAGACAAACACTCCCTTCTACAAATACCATGACCATTGAGGTCTATCCCCATTCCAGTAAAGCAAATATATTATCTGGAAAATTGAGAAACAATTCCATCTTCTCTTCCAATATCTAACTATTTCAGGAAAATTGTGCCTGCTGTTCTAATTGCAGAAATACTGTGAACCTCTTAAGTCTTGTCATTCCATATCAAATGGATTGTAACAATTCCTACTGAAACTATGTTTCGGTGATTAGTTAATGGCTAGACATACTGCAAACAGATGCTTAAAGGCGATGGATAGTGCTTAAAATTCTGGGCACGCTTAATTTCTTCCTTGAGTTTTGGCATTAGGGAAGGGCTAAATTTTTGATTCATAGCTTATATTTGAAAAAGTGAGGGGATGCATGCAGTTAATGGCATTCAGATGATCATTCTACTGCTTTTATAATAAGAGAGACCTAGAGGTCAGACAGGAAGAAGACAAACAGCTGAGAGCACAGCCCTAAGTGTGGAGCATGGCAGAGTCCTCAAAGCCATATTGAGCCTATAAGCCATATTGAGTCATGAGGCAGAGAGGGCTAGCTTTCTACCAAAACCACATGTCTCTGTGCCAAGCTAGAGGCAACCCTTGCCAGGGAATGCATTTCCTAGTCATCCTGCATCAACGGATGACCTGTGTGGGCAGAAGTGAAAGATGTTAAATGTTGTGCCCATGGTCATAGCCAGTTAGTGACAGAGTAGGAACTCAAAGTTATGTCTTCTGGCTTTTAAGGCAAGAGTTTTTCCCCAAGCTATAGAGTCACAGTGATTAAAAGCACAGACTCTGGGGCCCAGACAGCCAAAGTTCAAATCTTGCCTCTACCTCTGCTATCTGTGTGACTTGGGCAAGGTACTTAACCTTATTGTGTAAAATGAGGATAATACTAGTGCCTACCCCAAGGTGTTGTTTTGAGGGTTAAATAAGTCAATATTAATCCAATACTCAAAAATAATTAATATTAATACTCAATATTAATCAAATACCCAAAAAGATTAATACTCAATATTAATCAAATACTCAGTAAGTCAATAAAAATCAAATACTCAAAAATTTGATTATTAATCAAATAATCAAATACTCAATAGGCCCATGGTAGGGACTATTTTAAGTATATGACAAAAACAAGTAGATAATATCAGGTGAAATCTGTATAACCAGCTTCCACCACTTAACACATACACGCTAAGGGACCTGATGTCTCAAGCTATGGCTGCCAACCTTGCCAAACGAGGCTCAAGTAATTCCTACCCCTCATTTGATGCTTTCATACCAGCCTAGAAACAACAGCCTCGAAGCCACCATGCCAATGAGCAAAGGGTGTCACCTCCATTCAAGAGAAGCACAGGACCATTCCCATCATGGCTCCCTGCGTTGCCTTCAAGAGACCAGGCTCTCCACTCTACACATCTCTGAACACCTGTCCTCCTTCACTTTCCCAAACCTGTGTTTTACTGGACCTTCTAGGACTTTAACTCCATTATAATCAACCTCTCATTTTCCACTTCTCTGAACATCCATTAAACCTCTCCTAGATCTTCCTGGTCCCATGGCTATCTCCTGACCTTTTCTTCCCCTTCCTCCTGAAAAATAAAAACAAAAACCAAACAAGTAAATCCTGCTGCTTTCAAGATGCTAGATGTTCCAACTGCTCTGTGGAGTTTCTGAGCATGCTCCATTCATTGAAAAGTCCAGCTTCTAGCTTAGTCAACTTTACCAATGAGCTCCTGTTATCATTTTTGATGACTTCAACATCCATGTAAATGACCTCCCAAGTTCATGGACCTCCTCACTTCCCACATCCTTTCCACACCTTCTCCCTCTACTGCGTCTCAACCACCCTCCTCCCTAGACCTTATGTCAGTAAACCTTCTACATAAAGACACTTCCTGTTCTTTTAGCTCATTTTTCCAGTTTTAAAACTTGTTGAGCTCTTCAAGACACCACCACCATTGTCTCACCTCCCTTTAGCCTTCTCTTGTTTTTACTTTCCTTCTCCAATATGTGTTCTTTTATTTTAATCATTTCCTTACAATGCCCTTCAACTCTGCTTGCCCCTTCTCTTCTCCTTATGTATTTGACTGGCAACACCTCCATTTTGGTTGAACCCAGTGACCCAACTTCTGTAGGTTAGTAGTCAAGCAGGTGAGTGATGGGAACAATAAAAACACCCAACTTGACAAACTTGCTTTTAGATTCATGTCCTTAAACCCTCAAATGAATACTAAGCACTGTTCCAAAATCCAACCACCCTTCCTTCACAACCTTACTTGCTCCAGTACCCAAGATGAACATTTCATTTTTACTCTCCTCAAATGTCCAACTTGTCCTCACCTCACATTTCATTGATGGAAGAGGAGTCATGGGATGGCAACTCTTTTATTGCTATCACTCTATCCGTACTCCTGTCTGCATAGCTCATTTTCTCTTCCCAACTGTTACACAGAACAAGCTTTCCTGCTTCTGTGAAAGGCCAGTGCTCACACTTAAGCCTCTTGCCTTCTTGAATAATTCGCTCCTCACTTCTCCTCTCTGTTTCACATCATCGATCTTTCCCTTTCTATTGGATCATTCTGCTCAGCATCACAGATGCCCTGGTATCTCTAACCTTACATGAACCAAAAACTCTTCTTTGACCACATGTTCATACATCTCCCCTTCACAGTAAAACTTTTGCAAGACTTATCTATATATTCTCTCTCCATTTCCTCGCCTTCTATTTGTTCCTTTACCCAGTAGACACTGGAGTCTGTTCCCATGATGCCCCTGCAACTGCTCTCATTCAGGCCACCAGCCACGGCTGTGTTGCCGGGTTGAATGAGCACTTCTCTATTCTCATCTTTTTTTGTATTCACAGCAGCATTCGATAGAGGTCCTCTCTCCTTAAGGCATTCTTCTTCCCTGGCTTCTGTGACACCACCCCTCTTGGTTCTCTTCCTCCCACTTTGGTCTTGACACCTCACTCTCAGCTCCCTGTCCACTTGACAACCTCCCTGCTACTATCTTCACTTACATGTCCCATAGATATCTCATATTCCACATGTCCCATATAAATCCACTGACACGAACCTACCCTTGTAAAGCTGGAAGCTGTCTTTGATTCTTCACTTCTTAACTCTGAAATGCAATCCACCAGCACATCCTGTTGGCTCTGGCTCAGAAATGTGTCTTGAATCCACCCACTCCTCTCTAGCTGGTCCACATCCCATCACCTCTTACCTGGATTATTATGAAATTTTCTAACGTATCTATGTTCTTCCCTGTCATTCCCCACTGATGAGGTGGAGCCATCATTCAGAATCTCTTCCATGGCTCCTTCCTCACCAGTCCTAGGACAGCCATATTCTTTATCATGACCTGCAAAGCCTTTGCTTTTTTTCTACAAGTTCATGGGCCACTTTCTTCCTTACACACTGTTCCCCAGTCCCTTTTCCATCCCTTAGTCATGCCAAAGTCTTTCCGACTTCAAGGCTTTGGTGTTTGTGATTCCTTCTGCCTGACTGGCTCTCCCAGGTTCTTTGCAGAGCTGGTCCTTCTATCCCCTAGCTCAGGACTCAAGTGTCACTTTTCCAGCAAGTCCTTCCTTGACCACCCTCTATTGGTAGGAACTCCCAGTTATTCACTATCTTTCCCTGCTAAGTGCCTATCACAATCTATAATTTTTTATGAATCAATTATTATCAGTTTTCTTTCTAGAACATAAGCTTGTTCTCGATTGAACCTCCAGTGTCTTGGACAATATCTGCTCATCACAGCCATATGCAACATGAAAGTGCTGAATGAATGAATGAATGAATGGAATTGTAGAATGCTAACTATGTGGCTGGGCAGTGCTCAGTGCTTAAATGTACATTATTTCATTTGCCTGACTGCAATTTGTTTGTATATTAAACAAAAGAGACAATTCACATCCATTTAATTACCTTTCTGCTCCTGTTACAACCTAATAGCAACTGTCATGTAGCTGGATCCCGACACTTTAGCTGTACCTTTACTCCAATTCTCCTCAGTTAAGCACGGCTATCAGAACTTTTACAGATGTTCAGCAATGGGGGATTGTGTGGCTTCATGAAAGATGACTTGCCTTGGAGTCTGGTACTGGCTATAGGATGAATGAATGGTATGGTCTTAGCTAAATCTTTTAATTTCTCCAAGTTTTAGATTCTTTGTCAATTAAATGAGACATTGGGGCTTGGCTTTCTTGCCAACAACAACCTTGTAGAATTTGGTGAGTGTCTGCAACCTGCCTTCTAAGCAGAGTGCCTCCTCAGGAAGTGGAGGCAGGTTGGGGCACAAATGAAGCCCCAGTCCAATCCAGTGAGCAGAGCAGCATGCACTCCTATAGCCACATGCAGTGACCCTTGTGTATGTGAGTGCCTGTCATGTGCCCACGTAAACTGGTGGCACAAAAGGTACTTCACTTAGATTTCAAGGACCGAGACACAGAACCTTCTGGGGACATACCACAATAATCCTCCCACTAGCATTCACCTTAAGATGAAATTAGTAAGTAAAAACCTTTTCAGGTCTCAGGGAGGAGCCTGAAGCTAGACCCCCGAAAATTTAAGGCCAAGGCCATTTATGTCCATTATTGGGTTAGTCCAGATCTTAGCATTAATTCTGGCCTTGGAGAATAAGCCGTGAAAGAACCATTGTGGGGCATGAGAGAACCACACTGGACAGAATTTTAGGGCAATGAATCCCCGGGGAGAACCTGGAACAGAACTTTGAATATCTTGTCTGCCACAGATATTTTCCGTAGAACCTGCCTTTCATTATTTCTATTTAATACCTGCTCTTCAATGTTTAGACTCACTCTCTTTGTGATCCCAAGGCCTCTTCAAATGTTTCCAGTTTTCTTCTAGTTGATGTGGATTCCCCAGATTTATCTCATTTCATGATGTTTTCAGAATTGTGTGTTGTGCTGCCATCACACTTGACATTCTCAGTAAGGAGCTCCCAGTTGTCAAACCCAGTTTGTGTCTTCCTGAATGTACCAGTGAGGGGAGCAGGGAGGGAAGGATGCACTCAATTGTTAGCCTTTTTCCAGCAAAGTGTGGAGAGCTAAACCTTTTCAGGCATAATGGGTTAAACAGAAGTGGATGACTTGGCCACTCTTTTTTTTTTTTTTTTTTTTTTTTTTGACATTTTGTGAATCTTTTATTTCATTTTGTGCTTTAATAACAGAATATCCTAGAGTTGGTATTTTATTGGCCACTCTTTAGAACGCTGTATCCCCTAGGAGCTGATCAACTGCTATCATGAGTGAATTTGAAAGGATTATTCTGGATTGGTCAGTTTTGAGCAGGCTGGTCATTTTGATTGTAGATGTGACTTTCTCCTCCACGTGGAACAGACTCCATATGAGGCCAAAAACATCCTGTGTGTTACAAGTAATTTTACTTTCTTCTCTCTTGGAAAGTTAATAAATTCTTCATTTTCGGATAGGCATAGAAACAACTTTGCTGTTTTCTAGTTGAGATGTAGTATCTGGAAATGCTAATAAGTCTATGAGATTTTCACACTGGAATTACGTGGAGTGATGTCCGTGTGAGGATTAGGGAACTACGTATAACTGATCCAGGAGTTTACTTTGTCCTCAACCCTTAAAAAATGTTTACTTCACTGAAGGGCAGCTCCAAATAAGTTCATGAGTAATGGGCTATGAATTTTGTCATTTTGCCTGACTTCAGTGAGGTGGTTCTCTGGTTTGAAGTAGATTGCCTCTCATTAACGACATTCTTAAGAATTTTTATGCTGGAGCGTAAAAATATGCTCCAGCATAAAAATTTTTATGCTGGAGCATAAAAATATGATTTGAATTAGTTCCCAAAAGTCGCCATGTCCAGTAGATGGTTCTCAGGCCCATGGCTGAACTTCTGTGAATGTTTGGGCAATGTAACCACAGTGATGTTTATTAAATGGAATGTCCCTCTCACAGTGCTCTCAAAGATTTTTTTTTTAATTTTCAGTTATTGTTCCTCTTTATTGCACATGATATCCTATAAAGAAGATATATGTCTATAATCGAGCTTCGAAGGAGGGCCATGGAGCCAGTTCCTTTTAAAAGGAATGGAGTCAAGCAGTAAATTTGCTGGTCACTCTTTTCATATGGACCGCATCTTAGCCAGCAGTTGGTCTTTGATGTTGTAACAATGGCACTGGGCCCTGAGGCAGAGGAGCACCCCCCTAATACTGAAACTAGTCTGCATTCATTCCAATTTGGAGAACAATCTGTGTGCTAGCACTCAATCAGGGAGCCCAGAGAGTGAACTCCAGGGCTGTGAGTTATCTTTCTCAGTGAAAACCAGCCATCTCTTCTACACCATTTACCCTGCCTGCCGCATTCTTTATTTTTTTTTTTAAGTATGATATTCCTACAGAAATATATACATAACTCTACAGCTCAATGAGATTTCACAACCTGAAAACGCCTATGTAACCAACGCCTAGATCAAGAGGCAGAGCATTACCAGCGCCCTACCTGCCCTCCTTGGACTCCCTTTTCATCACTTCTTTGACAAGGGTAACTCTCTCCTAACAGCACATAACCCTTGTTCCTGGTTTTGAATTTTACGTAAACAGAATCCTTTTTCCTGGTTTTGAATTTTACATAAACAATACTGTGCCTGGCTTCCTTCACTCAACATTACATCTGTGAAATTGTGCATGTTGCCTGTAGTGGTCATTTGTTCATTCCCACTGTATACACTTAACTACCTTACTATCCATTCTGCTGATGGCATTCGGGTTGTTTCCAGGTTGGGGCCATTTTAAACAGTGCTGCTATCAACATTCGTTTTGAGATCTTTGAGTGCATTAGTGAATAGATTTCTGTTGGGCACATACCCAGGTGGAATTGCTGGGTCAGTGGCATGTTGATACGCTGGCTGCATCTCCATTCAAATCTTGACTGAATTGTATCACCCAGAATTCTCATGTGTTATGGGAGGGACTTTACGTGTGCTGCAGGGGCAGGGTCCTCATGGAGAACCTCTGCTAGGGCAGTGCAGAAGGGAAATGTGGGGTCGGGGCCCCCACAGAGAGTCCCTATTAAGGCACTGCCTAGTAGAGCTCTGAGAAGAGGGCCACCACCTTCCAGATCCTAGAATGGTAGATCTATCAAGAGCTTGCACTGCACCACGAGCCTGGAAAAGCCATAGACACTAAACAGCAGCCCCTGAAAGCAGCTGGAAGGAGGCTGTACCTGCAAAGCCACAGGGGCAGAGCTGACCCAGATCATGGGAACCCACTTCTTACATAGCGTGACCTGGGTGTGAGACCTGGAGTCAAAGGAGATCATTTTGGAGCTTTAAAATTTGACTGCCCTGCTGGATTTCAGACTTTCATGGGGCCTGTAACCCCTTTGTTTTGGCCAATTTCTCCCATTTGGAACGGTTATATTTATCCAATAACTGTACTGCCATCATATCCAGGAAGAAACTAGCTTGCTTTTGATTTTACAGGCTTGCAGGTGGAAGCGACTTGCCTTGTCTCAGATGAGACTTTGGACTGTGGACTTTTGGCTTAATTCTGAAATAAATTAAGACTCTGGGGGACTGTTGGGAAGGCATGATTGGTTTTGAAATGTGAGGACAAGAGATTTGGAGGGGCCAGGGGAGGAATGATATGGTTTGGCTGTGTCCTTATTCATATCTCAACTGAATTGCATCTCCCAGAATTCCCACGTGTTGTGGAAGGGACCCAGAGGGAGGTAATTGAATTATGGGGGGGCGGTCTTTCTTGTGCTATTCTCATGATGGTGAGTAAGTCTCATGAGATCTGATGGGTTTACCAGGGGTTGCTGCTTTTGCTTCTTCCTCATTTTCTCTTGCTGCTGCCATGTAAGAAGAGCCCTTTGCCTCCTGCCATGATTCTGAGGCCTCCTCAGCCATGTGAAACTGTAAGTCCAATTAAACTTCTTTTTGTTCCCCGTCTTAGTCCCAGTGAAATGGTTCAGCAGTTAACTTTGGAAAAACAGTTTTCTAGACTGTTTATGTCAATTCATACTCCCACTGGTTGTTCTGCCTTCTCACCACCACTTGATACCATTGGGTTTTGGTTTTCCTTTTTGCCATTTTGGTAGTATACATTTTTAAAAAGTTTTCTTTTTCTTCTATTTCAGTTATCTGTTCAACTAGTGCTGAATTCTGTGATCACCACAAAATGCATACATTATTAAGACAGCTGGAATGAGACTGGTCCCAACTCAAACTCTGGGGTGTAAAGAGAGAAGAGAGAGGATACTATAGAGCACATCTGAAATATGATGCGTTTGAAGAGGTTGTGCTACATAAACTACAGACACGGTCTATGAAAAACAAAACAAAGGATAAACTCCACTGGGAACACAGGGAAATCAGGGACATGAAAAGTATGACAGAAAAAGATCTGGAACCAGAGTGGCCCACAAGCTGATTCAATATCAGCAAGATAATATTATAACTAAAAAAGAAGATATGATACACTCTCAGGTAGAAGAAAGATCTAAAAACCCTAACTGCCTGTTTCCCAGAAGACTATGAGGGAAACACAACTATGAGTTGTTGTGACACACTGAGAAAAAGGAAAATCTGATTAGTCACAAGAAAGAAACTCTTCTGGCCAGCAACAGTAATTAAGAAGTACAATAAAGCTGGGCGCAGGAGTTCATGCCTATAATCCAGCACTCTGAGAGGCCTTGGCAGGCGGATCACCAGAGGCCAGGAGTTCAAGACCAGCCTGGCCAACATGGTGAAACCCCATCTCTACTAAAAATACAAAACTTCGGTAGGCATGGTGGTAGGCACCTGTAATCCTAGCTACTGGGGAGGTTGAGGCAGAATTGCTTGAACCTGGGAGGCGGAGGTTGCAGTGAGCCAAGATCACGCCACTGCACTCCAGGCTGGGTGACAGAGCGAGACTGTCTCAAAAAAAAAAAAAAAAGTACAATATACAATGCACAGAGCCTGTGGAACTCCTGTCCCCAGGTATGTCCTGTTTCTCTTGTTGCGTCTGGGGAAGGAAGGTAGGAAATGGTGCCCTTTCATCAGGGAAAGTGGTCACAGGCTTAAATTTTCCAAGCCCCACGAGTGATGAATAACGTATTTGCAGGCACAGTTCCTACCACGTAGCACAACATTTGTAAGCAGTGACAAGGGTGACCATTCAGAAAAAAAGATGGAAAGAGATGGGCATGTATTTCTTGACTCAGAAACAACCCTTGGTGGGGGCTGAATCCTGTGCTGCCAGAGCAACCCACAGGGTGACATGTGGGAACTTTCTCTAGCTCTAACTTCTCAGCAGTAGGCTCTCTGGGACTCACTCTTCCTCTTGGCCTGACTCTGGCCCCAGAGCCAGACTGAGCTGCTTCTCAACACAGCAATGGCGATGAAGCTATTCTTATCCCGTTTTACTGAATGGGACACAGAGACGTAGAGAAGTGTAAGGATTTTGCTTAAAGGCAGAGACTTAACTGAGGAGCAGAACTGGAATCGAAGCAATTCCAAAGCCCATGGCCCCTTGTTGGCTAGTCTGTTGGATCTTGTGACTTGTTTTGGCTGATGGAATGGTAACAGATATGACCCAGGTGTAATCCCATCACCATGAGAGAAATGTGTGGTAGGTAGCCTGCTGGTCACAAAAGAATGGGAGACCCATGGCGTAAACTTAGACCCAATCCATAGCTTAGAGCCATGCTCTGCCTAGATCTACTGAACCTCAGCTGACCCACAGACCCATTGGTGTGACAGTACATGCTTATTATTGCAGGCCACTGAGTTTTAGAGTAGTTGTCCTACAGCATTATTAGGCAATAGCTAGATAACACAAGACCTGAATTAAGTGCTTTCTAGGACCTGTAACTTGCAAGAAAAGCATACATGTAGACCAGTGTTTCTCAAACCATGACCTGCATACGATTAACCTGGGGACCTTGTCAAAATACAGATTCTTCAGGAAAAAAGATTTGCACACTATGCATCTGACAAAGGGCTAAAATCCAGAATCCACAAAGAACTCAAACAACTCAGCAAGAAAAAATCAAATTACCTCGTTAAAAAGTGGACAAAGGACACGAACAGACATTATTAAAAAGAAAACATACAAGAGGACAACAAATATATGAGAAAATGCTTTACACCAGTAATCATCAGGAAAATAAAAATTAAAACCACAATGAGATACCATTTTACACAAGTCAGAATGGCTATTATTAAAACGTCTAAAAACAACAGATGTTGCTGAGGACATGGATAAAAGGGCACACTTATACACTGTTGATGGGAATGTAAATAAGCATAACCTTTATAGAAAACATTATGGAAGTTTCTCAAAGAACCCCAAATAGAACTACTATTCAATTCAGCAATCCCACTGTTGAGTATATATCCAAAAGGAAAGAAAGCAATGTATCAGAAAGATACCTGCACTCATCTGTTTACCACAGTACTACTCACAATAGCAAAAACGTGGAATTAACCTAAGTGTCCTCCAGTGGAAGATTGGATAAAGAAATGTACCATGGAATACTACTCTGACATAAAAAAGAATGAGATCATGTCTCTTGCAGCAACATGGCTGGTACCAGAGGCCATTATGCTAAGTGAAATAACTCAGAAACAGAAAGTCGAATATCACATGTTCTGCCTTATAAGTGGGGGCTAAACAATGGGCATACACAAAGAGGAATCAGACGTTGGGGACTCCAAAATGTGGGAGTCCTGAAAAATTACTCATTGGGTACAATGTTCATTACTGAGGTGATGAGTACACTAAAAGCCCAGACTTCACTACTACACAATATACACACGTAAGAAATCTCTACCCCCTAAATATACATAAACAAACATTTAAAAAATTCAGATTCTGATGCAGTCATTCTAGGCAGGGCTTAATACTCTTATTTTCTAACAAGCTTTCAGGAGATGCTAATGCTGGTGGTCTGTAGACCGCATTCTGGGTGCAAGGGCTGAAAAACCATTTTGAGCTTCTTGTCTGTATCTCTGGGCCATGAACGTAGCTAGTGAACATTTGGGCAATGGATGGGTTACCTTATGTGTAAGGGAATGACATTTGCCCTCATAATGAGAATCCTATGTGAGTCACTAACAATCTGTATTCTCTTATGTCCTGTGTAGCCAGAAAGTCAGAATTTCCTCAACTCATTTCTTGGGCTAAGAATTAGGAACATGTAAATGGGATCTCCCTTTTTATTTTTGCTGTTTCTACTCTCTGAAATTTTGAAGATTCCCAGCAATAAACTTGGCTTCCAATTCATTTTGAGCTGAAAATCCATGCTGAGTTTCTATGTCACAATGTAATTGAGGCCCCAGGCAGGAGATACAAAATCCATTTCTGGTTTTCTTAATTTCCACCCATGGGGACAAGGAATGGGGACAAGAGAGTCAAGAAATATCAGACAGCAGGACATGGGAGAAGTAGAGTTTTCTTCTGGGACACTTTTCTAACCTTTTCTCTCTCTTTTTTTTTTTTTTTTTTTTTTGGTCCAGCATCTAATTTTCATTTCACAACCTGCACCATGATGGTCACTGCAATTAATGTCATCACCATCACTTGGAGAATCGACACCAATGAGATTACTTTGGGCATTCTGAAAAGAAAGGAGACATCTTTCCAAGGAGACAGTATCTGAACTCCTTCCTTCAGTATTTCAGGATATAATGTAGTT